TTTACGTTTAGAAATAACAGCTATAATAGACAGTTTCAGTACATAGGCTCAGTATATTGGGGAATATTTTAAATAAAAACGTAAGTAATTGCTCAATTATGCAACTTTCAGATAACAAATAAAATGTCTAGAATTATAATTTTTCTGATGTGTGACTCGGTGTGGACGGGGCTGTTTTGATGCTTCTGCCTGAAGGGTTTTCCGTCTCCTGACGGCGGGTTTGACGCGACGCCGCCTCCCGCCGCCCCTCCGGTTGGGACCCCGGTTTAAAAGGGTCCGGAGCGGCTGCCGCAGCGTTGCTGAGCTCTGCACCGGCGGTGGGCGGCACGGTGCGCACACACACACGGGAAATGATGGGGGCTGAGTCCGGGCTGCTGGGAGGCAGGCGGACCTGAGCCGGGGCTCCTCTGGAGGCGGACACCGGCGGAGGAGAGGGACCACAGACCTCCACGAGCCCCCCCACAGACCTCCACGAGCCCCCCACGAGCCCCACAGACCCCCGCGAGCCCGACACGGAGGAGCAGCCGGGGAGGAGGAGCAGAGACCACCGGCTCTCGTTTGGCTTCAGCCTGCGGACGGACAGCCCCAGCCTGCGGATTTGCGCTCAGGTAAACCCCGTTTTTCTGCCATTATATCTGGATTCAGCTCGATGCTTTTGGCGGTGGGGATGGGGAAAGGTGCCGGAGGGTTGGGGGGGGGGGGCAGGGAAAGGGGGGTAGCCCGTGAATTGTAACGTAACGTGTGCTGGTTTCAAACGCAGCAGAGGCTCCTCTGATAGCCCTTTCTCCTTCATTTTATTCACAGATACACAGACTGTTTTTTAACCAGTTTTAACCTCAAATGAGTTTCCATTTGATGCCTTTTCTGCCTACGTGAAATGGTATTTTTGACAGTTTATTGGCTGTGAAAGAGACTTTTTAACCCTCTCTCTGCGTGTGAATGTGTCCCAGCTCTGAACAGAAACTGAGCAGGACCCCGGCATGGCGAGGCTCGTCCTGTCCCTCCTGATCCTCTGTGGGAGCCAAACTGGGTAAAGCACCACACAAACACACATCAGCCATCTCACCGCTCCAAACTGGATTAATCAACTCCTCAAAGCTGCTGAAAGTGTTCGGCTTTCAACAGATGACCTTAATTGCTTTAGATCTGATTCTAAGTTGGTTTTTGATGCGGAGGCTCAGATTTGACTGTCCCAGTTCGGTTTTGGGGGAAGCGGCTGCTGTAGTTTCTCACATCTTTGCTGCAGAACCCAGCCAGCTCCGTCTCCCTTTAAAGGATTGATTGCATATCTTAGCTGGCCTTTGCTACGGCTCCCCCTTAAGTGGCTGCTCTTGCTCTCAAAGAAAGCAGAAAAAGGACAGATCTTTGCCAGTAATTCACTCTGAGGACGACATGTTTAGACGCCTAACGAGAGGACGAGCTCGTTTGTTTGCATTCGGATCACACATCTAACCACTGCTAGCTCAATAATTAATCACAATAGCCAGTCACCGTGTCCCTCTGCTCCTCCCCAGCCTCTGCCAGTCCTCCGAGGCCCAGAAGGAGCCCGGCATCATCGACAACAGCACCGTCTTCACACGGATTCTGGACGGGCTTCTGGACGGATACGACAACCGGCTCCGGCCGGGGCTCGGAGGTCCTGCCCCCCCCCTAACGGGTCACTCTCTCAGCTGGCAGCCGGGGGGTGCTCCCCGCTCTGATTCAGGGGAGGCTGGCACACAGATGTGGCCCACACATGTTGGCCTCACAGGCTGCGTGGGGTCCCCCCCGAGGGGCAGGCACAGCCAATCAGAGGAGCAGAATCCGGCTCTGGGGGGGCTCATTCAGGCTCCTCGCCCTGGCAACAGGAGATAACCTTGAGAGCCAACATACTCCCATTCAGACCTTTTTTTTCCTGAATAATAGCGTTTGATGTTCTCCTTTAAAGGCTCTGTGCCTCTAGCCTCCCCCCCCCCCCCCCCCCCCCCCCCCCGGCTGCCGCCATCCCACCACGTCCTGATGTGTCATGGCCAAAGCCTGCTCTCACGTCTTGGTAACGGTTGCTACCCTTCAGAAGAGGGCCTATAAATACATCCCAGAAAAACACAGAGGCCTTCACTCAGCATTCAGAGAGCTGCTCTGAAACAGAGCTGTTCCAAATTTATATTCATGGAGCTGGAATCAGGGGGGCTTTTCAGATTTATGGGCGCAGATCAGGAGGCTGGACCCCATTTCTCTGTCCTTTTTTTACTGTCATATGCTGGTTTTTCTTTGAGGCCTGGAGCAAAAGAAAAGCCTTCTGTGGGGGCAAAGCTGGCTAAAAACTCCAGGTTTCTGCTCCCTCAACAGAGAACGTCACGGAGATCAAGACCAACATCTTCGTCACCAGCTTCGGGCCCGTGTCGGACACAGAGATGGTGAGTGGCCGCCCGGACAAAAAGCCGTTCTGGGGCTGAAACGTGGACTCACATTCAGGAGAGCTGCTGCTCTCGTGTCCCAGTTGTGTCTTTGAAGATTGGCTCTTTTTCCTTTTGCTTGCAAATGAGACCAAACTCAAACTGGTTCACTTCTTTGAGATTAAAATGTCCACCCGGGTGGTAGAAGTCATTAAATCCTCCATTACTTTCTGCCATATTGTGGGCAAACTTTGACTGGCTGGAAAGGGCTCCATCAGAGGGCTGATTAACGGCTCCAGGAGACGCCGCTAACGGCGCCTCCGTCCCCTCGTGGCCATTTGTTTTTCAGAGCTTGAAGCAAGTCGATATTTCCCACATGAGCGAGTTCATGATGGATTCACCCACACAGCCACTAAGGTCACATGACCAAAGGTTGGAGGCAATTAGAGTAAAAACAGGCGTTTAAAACGAATTGGGCGCTCGGCCTTGCCCAGATGTTTCTGACATGGTGTTTTAAACGTGCAGATGTGCCGTCTGTAGTCTGAACTGGCCTTTTTCCCCCTCAGGAATACACCATAGACGTGTTCTTCCGCCAGAGCTGGAAGGACGAGCGCCTGTGCTTCAAGGGGCCCATGGAGATGCTGCCCCTCAACAACCTGCTGGCCAGCAACATCTGGACGCCCGACACCTTCTTCCTCAACGGGAAGAAGTCCATCGCCCACAACATGACCACGCCCAACAAACTCCTGAGGCTGAAGGACGACGGCACGCTGCTTTACACCATGAGGTAGGCCGCCGCCAACCGATGGCTCGGCTGTGAGCGTCGGCCGTCCGGAGCCATAAAACAGTCACAAAACCTCTCAGCAAAAGTAACAATTATCAACATAAAGATGAATTATGCAGAAAGAGTGAACCAGCTCTGGAAAGAAGGCAAAAAACCTACAATGAGGCTCAGATTGTGGGAGAATGGCGACGCCTGGTGGCCGTTCTGGGATATTACAGCCAGATTTAACTGCGTGTAGGAACGCAGCAGAATGAGGAGAAGACATCTTTAAATTCATGTCATTTCTGTTTCTGACTCAAAGGAGGGCACTTTGTCTTATATAAAGCAGCCCAGGGACATCGTGCATTATTAAAAGCAGCCTCGTTGTGAACTGTCATTTTGGCAGCGATTCGATGGTAAATCAGAGCCACCAGATAATATCCTCATTATTCTGAGCAGACAAACCCAAACACAGGCCTCCATTTTAACAGACATTTTCTGGTCAGGCCTGACAGAAAATCATATGAAACCAGACTTGTGGTGGGAACAATAATTCACAGGTAAAGCTTTGACTTCAGATACTTTTGATGGACAACATTTAAACAGCTGAGCACTTCGTGGACCCGAGTGGAGAAAGGGAGCATTATGACTGAACTTTGATAGCTTTTTTGGGATTATTTAAGCCTGAGGTGAGACCATCTTTCTCTGAGACAATTTATAGTTATTTCTCTTGCTACCAAAGCCTCCGAGTGGCATTCAAACTTCTCCTGGTTCAGCAACCGAATTCACGAAATATATTTCAGAGAGAAGTTGTAAGATTCTTACAGTTAGAACGTTCCCTGAATGCACCATGAACTAACAGAGACAAACACCATGGAGAACTTAAGTGATTCTACAAGTTCTGGAGAATTTCTAACAGCTGAACCACCAAAAAAGACAACAAAACAAGAAATAGGTCACTTATAATGTTGCTCAAGATTTGGGACACAGTCAGTAATCAGAATGATAAAAAAAGAGGTAAACATAAGCCTCAGAGAGAATCTGACTGAAAAATTGGGAAAATTTCTATCAAAACAGACAGAAAAAAACAGCATATTTAACTTATTTTTAGTCAAAATTTCTTCATTAAAGCCACTTAACTCTCAGCTATGAATCACTGAGGCTCTAAAAGGGCCTCTAACTCAAGGGATGAGCCAGTGTCCTGCTCAGCAAAGCAGCAGTTTAAAGTGGATCTTTAGGCTCTTTGTTAGCAGCAGCTGTCACAGAGACACATCATTTGTTCCATTTCTGTAGCTGATGTGTGAAAAGGCCAAAGAAAACACCGTCTGACAGACAGGAAACAGGATGTCCGAGGATTTCCCAAAGAGCCTCATCAGAAATGCTTTCCATGAAGGGGAGCTGTCAAGAAGCCACTCTGAAGTAAGGAAACAGGAGAAAAGGCTGAGCTCTGCCAGAGGAACCAGAAGTGGACTGAACCCAGCAGCTCTGATGGAGGGATGGAGGATAGATATTTACTTTAAACTCTGTTTTAAGCTTATTTACTGTTTAAATCATAGCATCTGCCTCCTGTTTTAACACAGAAACATTTTCACACGGCTTTAAATCACAGCAGGAAACACAGATAGTGACTGAAAAGCGTCTCATTTAGGTTTCGCTCCCTTTATTCTGGCCCCGTTAATGGGGCAAGGCCACATGAATAATTAGAAGGTGGTACAATCGCCCTCGGCCCTGTTCTCATTTATCCATCCGCTGCTCTCCTCCTCTAAAAAACCCACACATTCGCCCAATCCGGGCGATATTTGGCTGATGTGGAAGCCAGAACGAGCCTGTGGTCGGTCTCTATGGGAACCAGAAGTGGCTTCTTGTTCCAGCGTGCTGCGCTCGCTCACCTTATTGATTTAATTGAACCTCCTGCAGCACGCAGGCTGCTCCCTGATTCCAGCATTAAAGCAGCCCTCAGGTGGGCTCTGTGTCAGCCCCGGCTGCATCCTTGTTATTAAAGTCATGTTCAGTGAAAAGAGGAAAAAACCTTTAATGTAATGAGCTCTCCGGCTCCGGCTAATTGTCCTGCTAGCCCAGCCGTTAGCTCCATTCCTGTAACAGCACATCACTATTCATCATCACGTAAAGGGCTGAAACACCCACAGGGATTTGATCCAATCTAGGACGGATAGCTCAAAAAAAGGAGGGAATTACTAGGTGTGCGTGGCAGATTTACAAAAGCTTTGTGTTTTTTTTTCAAACGAGCCTTCATGGCAGAGTTTGAATGATTGGAAACAGCAAATGAAGCTCCAGCTGTGAGAGCCGGGGCTTTAGATTCATGCTCAGGGCCTCAGATCCCCCAGCTATTGTGCTTAGTGGAGGCAGGGGGAAGATACAGCAAGTGGCCACTAGGTGGTGGTATTGCCTCTTC